GAGAGAGAGAGAGAGAGAGAGAGAGAGAGAGAGAGAGAGAGAGAGAGAGAGAGAGATTTCACCCCCCAAGAAGTAAAATAAAGCAATTACCCTATGATTATTGTTTTCGTACTTTGAAAAAGAAATCCTATTTTTAAATCACAACCAGTGGTTTATCACACGTTTACGGGAAGAAATAAAGCTGTCATTTCTTTGAACAAAAATCTTTAAAGACAATAAACTATTTTATTTGACGGATCGCATCATCTCAGTGTTTACAGTGGGCATATACGTACGACATTCCTGAATTTCGTTGACCCACCCAGTGACCCCCTGAATGACCCCAAAGTTCAGATGACCGTCTGCTTGCGCGGAACAAACAATTTATCTTTCAGACGTGTGGTCTGACCTCAAGTGGCGGTGTTATCGCGAAGATAAATGAACTTTCTATAAGGCTACTCTCGCGGGCCTTAATACCCGTGCATACTTTCCAATTTGATTCAGATCGACGGGGCTAGCCAGCTGATTTTCCTTCAGGAATGAGACAAAAGCTATCATTTTGGCGCAGTACAACCGAATTCAATTAAATTCGACTGTGACCTTCAGTTTTAGTAAGAGTTTTACGGTACTTGCAACACAATAAGGTCATTTTATAAGTGCGGGAGATTAGAGGTGTTACAAGAGAGTAACAAATACAAAAAAGAAGGAGGAGATATCAGGACGATAGGAGATGTTTGATAGGAAAGAAGGAGAAGACCACACCAGAGCACCTGCCAACCACTCACTCTGTGACCTTCAAAATGAAACGCATTTGTTTTTCAAGGTCACGAGCCTGATCAGTCGTACAGTATTGTGTCAAGACAGTATCTTTGGCCTCTATATGAAGGAAAATCTGGCGAGCCTCGACTGAATCAATTGAATCAGATTGGTAGTGTGCATTGGATATTAAGCATCCCCTTTACGAATGAATTTATAGTAGGCAGTAGTGTGACAGCTCTTTGTGAATGTTTTGACTCCCCCTTTCGATACAATTTGGAATTTAGGATGCAGGCTACTTCACTTAGAAATTGTCTGTCAGGATCGACACCAGGGGTGACTGAGATACAGCATCCCAGCTAAAAGATGGAGATACTTGTACTAGATGAAATATAGACTTTCTCACGCTGGAATTGAAATCTCGACTTTTGCATTCAATGCCGAAGAATCTATCCACCATACCACAATAGTCGCTGATCTAGAGCTCATTGTAAGAGGTGATTATATCTACTCGTACACTACGAAAGAACTGCTATACACCCAAGACATGAGCACTTAATCAGGTTTAAGATACTTGTTGTATTTAGGGATGGAATATTTCGATATTATTTAAGTTCTGAAAGCTTTGTGCCAAAGTTTGATAAATTGACGGACCGTTAATGCTAAATTTTTGGAGGTATTGATCGGAACAACTCTTAGCAACCCTTAACCATCGATGTCGAGACTCGTACATGAACCAAGAAGTGCTGAGAAAATGACTGTAACTGGTTATTATAAAACGCTTTCTTTTCGGGTAGTGCATAGCGTATAAACAGCACATCTCCCTCCCTCCCTCCCTCTCTCTCTCTCTCTCTCCCTC